TCCAGAACAATTCTGAAATTCAGGCAGAAATSTACAGACAATAGATGACATTTTGACCCAGTTCCATCATAGGTTCCGGTATTTCAAGGGTCCAGAAAACGGATGTAAAAAAAACCGTTTAAGTTCCGCTATTGCTTTATCACGCTTTAATGGTGTATGACGTCACAACATCCGCTGGAAAAGCACATAAATAACGCAAGGTGTTGCAATTCAGCACAACTCATTCCAAGATGTCGTTCCTCAAGGTGACTTCAGTTGTTGTTCTACTAGTAGCTATTAAATATGCTTCGAGTTCGATATTTGGTTTTTCGTCAATGGATTTTTCCATGATGAATTTGGCGCGTTCGACAATGATGGGTTACGCGAGGGGGACTCAACGTACGGTGCAAGTTTTAAAGCCCAGCATAAAAGTTRTYCCAGGTAAACCTACAAAACCRAAGGTTGTCAATAGACGGTTTCGTTTCAGCAGTAGACGCAGACGTTACGTTCCGCTCAAGAAAACGAAGCCAAAGATCAAGCTGACTTTTGTCCGTCAAACAAAGACTTACAAAGCACGTAAAACGCCTTCGAACAAGTTCCTAGAAGCTCTGACAGCTATAGAGCGGGGAGTTGCTGACGCTACCGCTGCCAAACGATGGCTTAAATACTCGAGACCAAAACTAAATGCTTTGAAGACCACTATTTCATTGGCTGCCAGAAAACGAATGTTTCAGTACTCAAGACACAGGCTTGGCGAAGCWTTTTTCTTGATACAAAATAGTCGGAAATCAAGGAGGACCAAGCGATCCACACAGTCTAATACACCGTCAAGTTTTGTMAATGATCTCAAGCAGACTATGGGAGCAACTCAGTTTGACGAGTTCATGGCTGTCATGGGTGACGTGACGCTAATGTTTGCTATTGATACAACTGGTAGCATGTCAGATGACATTGACGCGGCTAAGCGTATTGCTGTAGACGTGATCAACTACCCAAGGCAGAATCCTGTTAGTTATATATTATCACCATTCAACGATCCCGGTAAGTGACTTTCCGGGGCGATTCACCAGAATGTTGGGGTCGCAATTCGCAGGAATTGATTTGCCAATATTATTATAAATCCGAGAGCTAGAGATAGGACTTACTGATAGACAAGGTTGATTGACAGACTGATTGATTGATTGATTGATTGATTGATTGATTGATTGATTGATTGATTGATTGATTGTTAAAAAAAATAAATCCTACTTGCTATATTTTTAGGTACTGGACCGCTGACCTTTAAACCAAGCACTGAAGGCGCATTATTCGTGGATGCTATCAACAAATTAGCTG